TCATCTTCAGCCCATTCGCTAATAAGACTTTTCACACGCTCGGATGTTTTGGCTACGTCATCTGTCGCTGTTTTACCGCCGACAGCGCCGTCATCTTTTTCAGCGACCACTTTGTTTTCAAGAGCATCTGTTACAGCAGGTTCTTTCACTTCTCCGGACCCAGCTTCTTCTACTTTAATGACTTCAAGTGCTTTAGTTGGTTCTGGGGCCGCCGCTGGTCCAGTAGACAATTCTTCACATGGAGCCTCTAAAATTTCTTTTTCTGCTGGTTTTGTCTCTTTTATGAACTCTTCCTGAGTCGTGTTCTCATCTTCACCAATGAGTTCATCCACTAGCACATCGCGTTTGATTTCAACAATGCTGTCACCGACATCGCTTTCATCTACTTTCCTTGATTTAGATTTTGAAATGCTTTCAGCGTCTTTTGTGCTTGGCTCCTCTAGGGGAGTTGTTACCTTTTCTTTTTTGTTGTCAATATCGAGATCAGCTGCGACCATATCATCCATTGTTTGCGCCTGGTTCTCTGCTANCTCCGGACCCAGCTTCTTCTACTTTAATGACTTCAAGTGCTTTAGTTGGTTCTGGGGCCGCCGCTGGTCCAGTAGACAATTCTTCACATGGAGCCTCTAAAATTTCTTTTTCTGCTGGTTTTGTCTCTTTTATGAACTCTTCCTGAGTCGTGTTCTCATCTTCACCAATGAGTTCATCCACTAGCACATCGCGTTTGATTTCAACAATGCTGTCACCGACATCGCTTTCATCTACTTTCCTTGATTTAGATTTTGAAATGCTTTCAGCGTCTTTTGTGCTTGGCTCCTCTAGGGGAGTTGTTACCTTATCATCCATTGTTTGCGCCTGGTTCTCTGCTTCATGGCCTTTAATATCGGTTAAATCAGCATCATCCTTATGCAAATTTTTCATAAGTGCGTCTAAATCATCTTCTTCACCCTTCGAATCATCTGCGTTTGTATTTGTGAAGCCGGGATCAACATCTTGGGTAATAATATTATCTTCAGCTGGGTCTAGAATGTCACTTCCGGCTACTGCGTCTTCTGGTTCAGTGGATTTTTTAGGCAGCTCTTTAGGTTTCTCCACATGTTCTTCAACAGTTTTCTTCTGGTTATCCAAAATATTTTCTTCATTTCCTTCTACTATATTCTGAACAGTATTAGTGGAGTCTTCCGGTGCATCGACCTCGGCGATTGGCGAAATTGCTGCTTCCTGTTGATCCTCATCATTATCGTCTTCCGACCAGTCACCAGTCAATTCTTTTAACTTTTGGTTTATTGCATCGTCGCCTTTATTATCCTGTAAAAATAAATGAAACGAATTTTAAATTTCGATTTTAAATATCCTTATACAATATGTTGGCATTTTATGTACATATGTATGTATGCACAACATACTCTGTCTTTCTTATCCGCTTCCATTTCCTCTTGATCGGCCAACTCATGGGCGCTGATCAAATTTTCGGCCCACTCCAAATTTTCAATCGATTCCTTGCTTTCATCCATTGCACTTCCTGCCGAAGTGTTTTTTTTATCATCAGTAACTTCCGTTGTACCCATCTCTGCTGTTATATCTGAATCGCCTTGTCCACCTTGAGCGGTATGCAGTTCATTATATATCTGATTATCATCAAAATCTTCATCCGCTGTTGAGCTCTCGGCAGGGGGATTTCGAGTTTCTTCGTCCATTATTTGATCTTCAGGCTGGCGTTCAGCGCTGTGATCAGCTTCCTGTTCAGCTGGTTGTTTTTCATTGCAGCATTCCAATGCATCATGACTTGAAGTCAATGGTGTTGCTTCCGCCGTGTACTCAGCAGGCTCGTTTAATACCATCACAACCCCACCAGTTCCATGTTCCTGATTCAATTGAGCCATGATCTCTTGGCGTTGTTCATCAGTTAAAACCATCTCGTTGCCATCGACAGTAACAAATTTGGGTTCGCTAGTTATAATGTTGCTTTCGTTCGTTTCCATAAATTCTTGCTGATCGCCAGATATACCTATTTGTGGACGTGAGTCTGTAGCTACATTGCCGCCCTCAAGTTTCAATATCGATCCGGCGCTGGGTAGACTAATGTCAGATATTATTTTTATCTTTGACTCCTTTTTCTCCTTTGATATATTTTCTTGCACCTCTGATGCTGTAATTTCCGTGGTTGTCGGCGGTTCAAATAACTCATCGTCTGAATAATCGATAATACCATCTTCGAGGGCCTGTTTCTTGTGGTAGGTCTTCATATGGTTATATAGTTGTAGTTCACGTGCAAAAATTTTGTTACAGTAAATACATTGCTGCTTGTTCTCATCCGGGTGGGCGTCAACCATATGTTGATTTAGCGCATTTGTATCCAAAAACTGATTAGAGCATAACAAACACTTTGGGAAAGTGTAAGAAGTGGTCTTAATCTTGTGTTCTATCTCCATGTGGAAGTGCAGCTCACGTTTAGTACTTGAACGCCAGCCACAATGTTCACAGAGTGCCGGATCAATGTATTCTTTGTGGGTGTTTATCAAGTGACGGCGAAAACCTCGATACGATGGAATACTTATAGGCCGTCCGTTGACTCCACAGCGGAGACACAACCAAGGGCCAGTGGTGTTTTCTGCTCCTAATGCAATTAAAGCATGCATTGTTTTACTATCGATACGACGCTTTTGTGCTGGAAGTGCTGATGATGTTGCTGTGCCAGTCCCAGATGTGGCAGAAGTTGGTGATGTTGTTTGTAGTTTTGGTTGAATTGGCGACATTTTTTGTGCCACAGGTAGAGGTGGAGATGTAGATTGATGTACAGTTGTTTGAAGTTTTTCTAAGGGTTTTAACAATGTCTGAGATGAGCTCTGTACGCGTAAAACTGACTGGGATTGAGACGATGAAGATGGACATTGTGGATCACTTGAAATATGCTCCAGTTGTTCTTTCTTTACAATAATCTTCTGCGGTTGATCTCCAGAGCTAGGCATTATCTTCAATTTTATATTTTTATTACTCTTCACCAAATGCGGATACTGCCGAAGTACTTCTTTAATTATTTTCGCATGGTTCATTTTGGAATTGGAACTGTCTTTTACGACGATAGTGGGCGGCTTTTCATTTTGATTAATGGTGATTGTAGTAGCACCATGCTGCAGCTGTGTTTGTCGCGATGTGGATGCTTGCATACCTGCTATGGTACTTGCAGTGGCCGATGTGGTGGCCAAATCGTCATCATCATCATCATTGTGTATGTCATCCTCCATCATGCTGTTCTCGTATTCGCCCTGATCGTCGCCATATTCTGCGGCAATTTGTTTTCTCATACGTTGCTGCTCAGCAAACTCTTTAACGTCTTCAATATTAAGCTTCTTAGCTGGCGGTGATACCAAAGCATTATTGGCTGGACGCTTGTTGTTATTGTAACCTTTGCGAAGCTGTTCAAAAGGTGATGGGGGGGTTATTTCTTCTGGCTCTTGTTTTATAATAGTTTCATGACTTTCATGTGCAGGCTGATTGACGTATTGTGTACGACCTTGCATATTATTGGTATTACTGGCACGCATTGTTCTTATTAGAGATGTTGATCCTATCTGTTGCCTGTATTGAGTTTGTTGTGGCAAATTCATAGTAGTAGATGAACTAGTACTTATAGTTTTTGTTTGAACGATGGGACGCTGCAATCCAGAAACACTGTTTGGTGATGTTAGTACGCGATGTTGTTGAACGTTTGGTTGCTGTTGAGGCAAGCTTGTTGCAGCAGGAACACGCCGACGTAATGGTTTTGGGCTAGGTGGCTATGGATAGAGAATTTTTTATGGTTTTGAAATAAAAGCAAAACAATACTTTTTACTCACCCGCTGTAAGCGATTTACACCCTCCATTGTACGGCGATGTGCTTCGAGCAATTTTAACAGAACAGTCATGTTCATATCCTTAGCCGTGCGTAGCAGCTTGCCATACATTTTTAATTCGAATTCCAATGTCCCAGTGTACATGAAGTTTACGATGGGTACTACAACATCGGCTTGCAGCTCATTAGGCATGATGAGAGCATCGTCCACCATTTCGCAAGTTTGCTCCAACACGTTGAAGAAATCAGTACAAGCGCTCAATACTAGACGATGTACCTTCAACTGCGAGTTATCCCGAAACTGTAGTGTGAGGTCACAATAGTCCGTCTTATTAAAGAAGTTTTGCAGTTTCTGGAGGAAGAAGACTCCCCAGTTGTCTACTTTTACGGATTTGATTTCCCCCATTCTGTTGGCAATTTCGATAGAGGAACCAAGTTATTTACAACTGCAAATGCAGAAAAAAACATTATCGTTGTACACTAATATTAAACATTCTTATAAAACAGATTTTAGTCCCTAAGATTGTTTCACAAAATCGAGTCAAAGAACTGAGTTAGCTTTTAAACTGATAGGCGCAAGTAAAGTTCAACCAAAAGCACAGCAAAAATTCGTTAAGATGCTCCGCACCCCAAGAGCGTGTCACGAACATTCCAACATTGCCATCACAGTACTCAACTAAATCGGCGTATTTAACAAGTATGAGAAACTGTACTGCAATGCAGGCACCTTTTAGATATTTCGATGGCCATAGTAGTAGTCCTTGTATTAATGTGTCCGGAAAACTAGTCTCACAAAGTATCTACACTTCCAACCATGTACAATAATGCTATTAATAAAACCAACTTAACCAATTATATACATATTTAACATTTTTTCATTTACTTTTTTTCACTTATTTCTCGTGTGCTCTGTTGGTTTATGATAGTTGATAAATCTTAACGGCCTCGCGTTACAAAACGTCAAAATTCGAATGAAAAATGTTTACAACATTTATTTTTGTGGCAAATTTATTTTAATCTGCTTTTGCCACTTACTGCAACCGCTGAAAATGAATCCTACGAAAATGCAGAGAAAACGAAAAAATTACTCGTCGTTTGGTATTTTCCGAAAACAAGAACCAATATGGCTACTTGACGGAGATTGAACGAAACGCCATTTTACGCCATATTTAATGGTATGTGTATTGGATAAACTAGCCATTCACAATTTAGGTGGGTATGTCACACAGACGCAATCTGCTTTATTTTTCGGAGGTTGCAGCATATCGGGTTTCCGTCATGAACCAAAAATACAAGATCACGCAAAAACGCGATGTTGTACATCGTGCAGACTTACTTCTTCTTACCAAGAACGAATATCCTGTCAAACTTGTTGACTACAGTTTTGACAGCAAGTTTGTGAATAGGGAGACCAAGAAAACTACGACAGCCGACGAACGAACGATAAGAGAATGGCAAAATTAGGGTTTTGTGAAGCTGAATTTCGGCTGGGTTGTTGTATTGCTTTAATATAAAGATGTACCAATCGGAACAGATCTGACCGGGTTAAACGCGATGTTGTACATCGTGCAGACTTACTTCTTCTTACCAAGAACGAATATCCTGTAAAACTTGTTCCACTTGTTCCAGGTACTTCAGGATTTTACAGGAAACTGTTCCTGTACGACATAGTGTCCATTAATGGCGAAAACAGCTTTTCCTGCAAACCCCCGCGTACAAAAAAAAGGTGGCTATGGGGGGGTAGGGGGAGTTCTCCTGATTGCAAATATATATAATTTTTGCCGCAGGAGGCTTATAGTTTTTAAGTTATTTGTTGTTAAAGTTTGTAAATTGAACTAACCTCTCGGCGCTATTTCACACAATAAATACTATATTTATGTAGACACTTTGGCAAAATAGTTGCATTAAAACCCCGCACAATGAAGTGTAAACATACTTTTTACATTTATGATGTATTTTTAGTAAATTAAGTAAGTTTTAATAATTATCACGCACTTATATATGTATACGCACATTGTGAATACAGAACCGTTGATTCAACCATGGTTTCACACTGACATTAG